TGTGTGTGTTGTGTGTGTGTGTGTGTGTGTGTGTGTGTGTGTGTGTGTGTGCGAGTGAGAGTGTGTGTGGTGTGTGTGTGTGTGTGTGTGTGTGTGAGTGTGTGTGTGTGTGCGAGTGAGAGTGTGTGTTGTGTGTGTGGTGTTTCAGACGCTCTGATAGTGGTCGTGTGTTTGATATCAGACAGGTGCTGGAGGTGATGGCCGCCGTCAGGGAAGAAGATCCACTGGACCTCGCTGAAACCATCTACAGCAACACCTTGAGACTGTTCTTCAAGCACACTTCATGAGGACCACTCTGCTTTCATATGCTAGTGTACAATAAATGAGACGAGAGACACGTGTACTGTACTGGCTTATTATTGGTAACTACAACTACTTGTGTTAATTGAAATAAAGCTGAAATGAAATCTAAATATTAGATGAAAACTTAAAACTACATAAAAATTTGAAATGTTGCGTTTGCAAATGAAATAAGTTGAAGTTGAAGCACTAAAATGTGGAGAACCAAACCTGCAGAAAATAAATGAATGAATGAATGAGTGACTTAATAATACAAATACTTAATAATTCACAATATATTCAAAATATTTTAAATAAATTTAGTCTTAAATTAATTTTTATATTTCTGTATTTATTTTTAACTTTATTCTTTTTCATTTTACTTTTGTATTGTTTCACTTTTTGTACATTATTTATGAATAAATAAAATCTTCATTATTTATGCATTAATTATATTTATTTATACTGGAAATAAAACTAAACACAAACTGAAATTATAAGAAACTATGTTAAATCTAAAATTTAAATATTTTTTTTAAATAATGCACATAAAGGCAAAAAACGACATTTCTAAAAATTAAACTAAAATCACACTTTAAAATCTAAAAATAAAAGCCAATTCAAAATAATAATAAAAACTACAATAGTATATAAATAATACTAAAATTACACTGGTACTGTACTGAGTTTCATGTTAAGATTCATTGTTAGATCACAGCAATAATAATAAACAGTAATTCATGAATATAATTTTTAAATGCAATTCAACCTGAAATGCATTTTTTCAGCTTTAGTATTTAAAATAGAAAAAAATATTACAGATTGTGTAATTTAGCTTTTTTTTTTTTTTTTTTTTAATGATTATCTTAAGTATCCTGTGGGTTCCATATGCAATTAATCATAATTATTCTGGAACATTTTCATTATAACTTCTAATTAGTTTTATAAATAGCCTACACTTTTACAACAATTAATAATAACTGTTAATATGTTGTTTTAATTATTGTTTCGTTGTTATTGATATTATAGATCATTTGAAACGTGCTTTGTCATTATTAAAAGTAAGTATATCAATGAAAATAAAATATAACTTAACGATTTTTATTAAAGATACATATAAATCATTAAAAAAAATATATAAGATATAAAAATATATCAATAGTTGTATTTTTAAAAATATATATTGAATGCTAAACCCGAGTCAGTTCTGTGGTGCGGTATTCTGTATTCTGCGCATGTGCGTCGTAACTTCCGCGTTCCTCACGTAGCAACAGCAGCAGAGCCAAAATGGCGGCCGGCGGAGATCCTGCGTGACACCGAACCGAGTCACAACACCGAAACCTGCGGGTCCCAGACACCGGCATCAGCGCCATGGCCTCCGCTCACGGGCGGCTGGGTCAGCACGTCCTGGCCGTGCTGGATGTGGTTCTGCGGGTCCCGAGCATCTTTATAATCGACGCCATATTCAACTCGTACTCCGATCCCGGTACCGGATGGACCGGAACCGCTGGGAGAGCGTTAATCCGCGCGCTGGGTGAGTCCGGGCTGTTCACGGTGATCGGGGTCGGCTCGGCCGTTAATGCTCGAGTACCGAGAGATAAGGAGCTTATATCGGTGAAGCGGGCCTGAACACAGAACCGAACGGAACCGAGTCACGCTTTGATCTCTGTGTGTTTATGAGAGAAGCTCGACTGTCACACGGTCCGGTCCTTCATATGATGCAATGTTCTCTATTCGCTTTCATTCGGTTTGACAGCAGAAACCGTCACGCATATAGACAACATCTCAGCTAAACGCACACTAGTTAGGCTACTTTACTATTTAGGGTTAAAATATTAACTCATACTTCTCCAGCTGATCAATCACAGCACATTTAGACAATTGTTTTGTATTACAAGTTTACTGAAATGTTGTATAAATATGCAACCGAGGCATTATCTCGTTAAATATGTGCTAATTTGCATACATTTCTAGAACAGAAATCTTGTAATTAAAATCTACAGACGCAAATAGATAAAGTGCAATAAAATAAGCACTTAAATGTGTATTTTAGATGTTTTCTAAACTAGTCTGAAAGATACAGAAGCCAGTTTCTGCCATGGAATAAAAATTTGAAAAATGTGATTGCAACTTTTTTTTATCACAATTCTGAGTTTACGTCTCGCAACATGAAAAATGTAAAAAGGTAATTGCACATTTTTATCCCACAATTCATACTTTTTTTAAAAAGTATATATCTCGCAATCTCGAGTTTACATTGCGCAGTTCTGTTCATAGCGCAGTTTTGCACTATTTTTGTTACCGCCACAGAAAAAAAATGTTTTAATTTAATTGCGACTTTCTGTTCCACACTTCGTAGTTTTTCTCGCAATTCCAAGTCTACATCTCGCAATTCTGATTTTTGTTTGTTTATACCACATAAATGTAAAAATTAAAAAAAAGGTAATTGCGACTTTTTATCCCACACTTCGTACTTTTCTCACAGTTCCAAGTTTACATCTCGCAACTTAGATTTTTGTATTGCGACTATTTATCTCACAATTACGAGTATATCTTACAATTAAACTAAAATTAAAATGAAAACTAAAAATGCAAAGATAAAGGTTAATTCAAAATATTAATAAAAACTTTAATAGTTATAAATTTGACTAAAACAACACTACAGTAAAAGCGTGGTCACATTAGCGAAATTTCGCAGAAAAAGAAGGTTGTTTGTTATAATTAGTCTATCGATGAGCACAGCTTCCAAACTAAGCTTTATATTGGTAAACATGGCAAATTTGCATGTTCAGAGTTTGACGAACTTAATTCCGATGTGAAATCTGCATGCGGAAAGTTCCTACTGAAATAACAGCATTTCACCTGCAGAATTTTGCTGTACAAGAAGTAAATGTGAAACATTGTTTCCTGGTGAATTCAGTTTGTTGCGTTATGCATGCTGCTGCACTGTTGCGATGCGAACGCTGATTTTCGTCCTCTCGTTTTCCAGGTGTTCTGGTTTCCAGTGTGGTTCTGGTGCTTTCTCAGAAGTCCCTGTTCAAGTTCTACACGCTGTTCGCGGCTGTTCTGCTGGGTGCGGCGTCGGTCCTCATCAACTACTACAGCACGTCTCACATTGACTTCTACAGCGCGTATAACCGAGCGGCGCTGGGTTTCAGGCTGCTGCCGCGCAGTGGAGCCACACTCTGGCTGGGCCTGGCGCTGCTGCAGCTGCTGCTGGGATTGGGCTACGTGGCGCTGCTGAACGTACAGTCGTTCTGTGCCGCGCTGCTGGTGTTGGATATCATGGCCCCGCTGTGGGGCCTGATGCTGGAGCTCCCGCCGCAAGTGCGTCAGGCACTAGCACTAGCGTCGGGTGCGATTCTCGCAGCACACGTAGCCATTAATCTGCTGTGGAAGCTGAAGTGGTTCTACTACTCGTGCCGCTACGTCTATCTACTCCTGCGCCACATGTACCGCATCTACGGCCTGCAGCTGCTGCTGGAGGACACCTGGAAGCGCATACGCTTCCCCGACATCCTGCGCGTCTTCTGGCTAACGCGCATGACGGCGCAAGCAGTCATACTAGTGTACGTAGTGCGCGTGGTTCGCTCGGAAAGCGGCCTGCAGCTCGGCTGGGACTTGTTTTGGGACTTGACCAGCAACTTGATCATCAGCGGCTGCGATTCGACGCTCACCGTGTTGGGAATGAGCGCCGTTATCTCGTCACTCGCGCATTACTTGGGACTTAGCATCCTAGCGTTCATCGGCTCAACCGAGGAGGAGGATAAGCGGCTAGGGTTTGTCGCGCCAGTGCTGTTCTTCATCCTCGCCTTGCAGACGGGACTAAGCGGACTAGATCCCGAAGAGCGACTGATCCGGCTTAGCCGGAATATGTGCCTTCTGCTAACCGCGATTCTACATTTCATCCACGGAATGACGGATCCGGTGCTAATGTCGCTAAGCGCCTCGCACGTCTCCTCAGTGCGCAGACATGTTCCCGTGCTGCTGGTGTCGCTAGTCCTCTTCGCTCTCCCCGTCCTGCTTAGCTATGTTCTATGGCATCACTACGTGCTAAACACGTGGCTCTTCGCCGTCACTGCGTTCTGCGTGGAGCTCTGTCTCAAAGTCCTCGTCTCGCTCACCGTCTACGCTCTATTCATGATCGACGGCTTCTACAACGTGCTCTGGGAGAAGCTGGACGACTATGTCTACTACGTCCGCTCCACCGGCAACATCGTCGAGTTCGTCTTCGGCGTGAGAATGACGGATCCGGTGCTAATGTCGCTAAGCGCCTCGCACGTCTCCTCAGTGCGCAGACATGTTCCCGTGCTGCTGGTGTCGCTAGTCCTCTTCGCTCTCCCCGTCCTGCTTAGCTATGTTCTATGGCATCACTACGTGCTAAACACGTGGCTCTTCGCCGTCACCGCGTTCTGCGTGGAGCTCTGTCTCAAAGTCCTCGTCTCGCTCACCGTCTACGCTCTATTCATGATCGACGGCTTCTACAACGTGCTCTGGGAGAAGCTGGATGACTACGTCTACTACGTGCGCTCCACCGGCAACGTCGTCGAGTTCGTCTTCGGCGTGATCATGTTCGGAAACGGCGCGTATACGATGATGTTCGAGTCGGGAAGTAAAATCCGCGCGTGCATGATGTGCCTGCACGCGTATTTCAACATCTACCTGCAGGCGAAGAACGGCTGGAAGACGTTTATCAACCGTCGCACCGCCGTCAAGAAGATCAACTCGCTCCCGGAGGTCAAAGGCGCGACGCTGAGGGAGATCGAGGACGTTTGCGCGATCTGCTATCAGGAGTTCGCCGCGTCCGCGCGCATTACGCCGTGCCACCATTATTTCCACGCGCTGTGTTTGCGCAAATGGCTGTATATTCAAGACACGTGTCCCATGTGCCACCAGCACGTCTACATCGAGGACGACGGACACGAGCGCGCCGCATTCTCCAATAACAACGGCTACGCCGCGCCGGGGCAGGAGAGGGCGGAGTTTGAGGGAGAAGAGGGCGGGGCTGATGTGGGCGGGGCCGCCGGAGGGGCAGAGCCTGAAAACGAGCTTCTGGAGGACAACGACAGCATCGAGTACGACGGGGAGGAGTGGGGGACGCAGCCGGGCGTGACGCTCGCAGAGGAAGAGTACATTAACGACGACACGGACTCCAACTGAAGCAGTGCGGATATTTAAATTAAAAACGATTCGCGAGATCAGGGACGTTATGCTTTTTTATTTCTTTGGTGTTCGTATAAAAGGGCTGATCTTGTGTTTTTTTCTGGAATGCTCTTGATCATGTTTGGCTGAACGATAAAGAGTGCTACTGTAATCGCAGTATACCTCGATATGATCACTACTGGTCTCTTGTGTGACCTCTCTTATAATTGTGTACATTATTGTACATGTAATAAAAGAATGATACACTGACGTTTGACAGTTGTCCACTGGAGAAAGCTGTTAATCTCAGTTTGACCGCGATATATTACGCTCTCCGGCAGCATTTTTCAACCCTCCTCAGTATCTGATAGTATCATACGGTGTTGCTTTTTTGACCTGCCAGGCGCATTGTACAGTGCAATTAACACGTTTCAACACAGGCTTGGTGTTTTCTGATTTCTGGTGTTGTTGTTGAATGCAGTAACTCCATGATTAGATGCGTGTTTGATTTCAGGTTAAACTGTTGATTTGCCAAGAGGACTGATGTAAATACATAATCTGCTTTAGTTCTTTTGTAAATAAAACAATTAAGCTAAAGTTCTATGTTCGAAGTGATCTGGAACTTTGCACTTGATTATATTTTTTGAACTTCTTTGTTGTGGTTTGTTTTTTCTCACAGGTTTTTAATGCCATTCAGTTATCATGGTTTAATTCACTTAAATCTGAACATTTAGATGCATGAGAAGACCACATGCTGCTGTTTTAAAATCGTTAAGTGTAAAATGCCTTTAAAGGGCATGACTAATGCTTATATGATTTAAAATTCTGTGACTTACTGATATGCAGCTGTTGTTAAAATCAATGATGACATATTCATGTTAATATACAATTTAAAATCACACTTGGATCTTTCATAATTCTGTTCACTCATCAGTTTTCTATGGAAGCCCATTTCAGCCACTTAATAATAAAAAATAATGCTTTGGTAAATCAAAATTATGACTTTAAAGTAATAATTACAAGATTAAAAGTTGAAATTATGACTTTAAAGTCATAATTATGACAAAAAGTCATATTTATGAGATAAAATGTAAAACTGTATCATAATTTTTATTTGTTCTAATCTCATAATTATGAGTTAGTATGACAGTGTTTTAGTGATATTTAAAAAAAAATTAAGATAATGACAAGAATAAAGTCAAGTCTTGTAATGTTGACTTTAATCATGTAAAATACTTTATTCTCGTAATTTAGGTGTTATTACCAAAATAAAACTCAATCTCACAATACAATGACTTTATTCTCATAATTTTGGCATTATTCTCAAAATATGAAAAGTTTAATATAAGACTATTCTCCTATTGCTACAAGTTTATTCTCGTCATTTTGACTATTCTCGTTAGATTTTTTTTTACTTTTAAAGTCATAATTTTCACTTATCTAATTACAATTTTTTGTCATAATTTCGATTTTTCAGTTAATAATTTTGACATCGTATGACATCATTTGACTTTTAAACTCATAATTATGACTTTTTATCTCATAATTATGCTTTCTATGTCATAATTTAGATTTAAACAAATAATTTGGACTTTTCATCTCATAACTATGACCTTCCAAAGCATGATTTGTTTTTTGTTACGTGGCTGAAACGGGCTTCCGTAGTTTTCTGAATCCAGCCTCGTCATCGACTACATTTCCCATGGCGCATCTGCCGCGCGGGACTACATTTCCCATCATGCAACGTGACCGTGATGCGCGTCAGAGCGTGTGGAAAGTCTCACGCGTTTTTGAACACAACGATGAATCATAACGCCTAAAAATATCGCGTCAGAGTCCCGTGCGTTTCTTACGGTAGGAATGGAAAGGCATGTGCAGGCGGATCGGGTTATTTAGGTCCGGGCACTATTGTCTGCTTAGCTAGCGAAGTAAGGTCAGTGAACACACCTCATACACACCCGAGTGTCTGACAGCATGACAGGCGCGGCTCGTGTTGAACATGTTTAACTGGGCGTGTTCTGGGTTCCAGTGAGTCTCTGCGCTGCGATGATCCGGCTGGCTGCGGTGCGTGCGCTCGTGGCCCGCCACACGCCCGGTCCGGGTCACCTGCACGCCCGGTTCCTCGGGACACACCGACGCCAGATCAGCCCGGAGCAGCTGGAGCTCCCGAACCAGGCGCGCGAGTTCGTGTACAGCCTGAGCCCGGCGAACCGGAGCTGCTTACTGAAGGAGCTGCAGAGCTTCGAGTCCAGCACCAAAGGTAACGCCACGACCCCAGCCTGCTTGCGCTGTAGTAGTGTGTGGGTGTGACGGTATCAAATGTTCACGTCGCGTTAATTGCAGAAGCGTTTATCGCGGTATACCGCATCATCAAGTTACAAAACCGTGTTGCCATAATATAACAGGTTTGAACTTTTTAACACAACATAAATAACTGGACATAAAGCATTACACCAACATGTATTAAGTAAATGTTTCGAACAGATTAAAGCGCAAAAGAATTATAAAGAGCAATACAATAAGGTCTCATTTAATGCATTAACAATGAGCAGTTTACATTTGTTACAGAAGTTGTTATTCTTTGCGAAAAAGAAAAAAATACAGCTGTTCATGTTAGCTCGGGTCCATTAAATAATACAGTTACAAATATTTTGTGATTAAATGTTGAAATCCTATACTAAGATTATTAATGCTTTAGAAGATTTTTTTTATTGGCAGTTTAATTTAAATAATAAACTAATGTTAAAAAATGGAGCCTTAATGTAAAGAAAGATAAATTGATCAGTGTATAAAGGATCAATTATGACATGATCACCATTGATATATTTATATTAATATTGATTTATCAATAAATAATATAGTATACAAATTATGTTTTGTATTTTATTTCTATTTCAAATCAAATATTTCTTTAGTAAGTAAATCTTTTTTTAGTAAGTGTTTTTACATTATTTATATTAATATTGATTTATCAATAAATAATATAGTATAGGCCTACAAATTGTTTGTTTTATTTATTTTTATTTCAAATAAAATATTTAATCTTTTTTTTAGTAAGTGTTTTTTGGTTGGAATTTTTTTTAATTAGCTATACAATTGAATAATAATTTATGCTAAGTTAAATTTAGTATAAATTTCAGTAAAAAATAAAGATTTGACCAGAAAGGATTTTAGATTTTTTTATCATCATCATCATTTTAAAAAAATGTATCATTTTTTTTGTATTTTTGTGTTTGCTTGGTTTTATTTTGTTTTTATGTAACTCTTGTATGTTTTTGCCTTGAAGATGCTGACATGGCAATAAAATTAAATAACTTCTACTTAAGTAAAAAAAAAAAGAATAAGCAAGTCATAGAATGAAAACACATTCTTGTTTATATTTTAGTTAATGAAAATATTTTCTCACTGCTAGTTTGTGTAGAGTATAACTGAAGCTGCATCACATAACTGATCTGATGTCTGTGCTTTCAGACTCGGAGGAATCGTCTCCGCCGACGACAGCGCAGCTCAGATACAGTGAGTTCACGTCTCTCTCGGCTCTTTCACTCATTCACTGATGTTTCTCTCAGCTCTGGATCTTCTGCTTTCTAGTTCTCCTGCACAACGCCATTCCCTTCATCGGCTTCGGCTTCCTGGATAACGCCATCATGATCGCCGCCGTGAGTCACCTCAACACAATATAGAGTTCTGCAGTCCAGAATTGCGAGGAAAAAAAGTCAGAATTGCGAAAAAAGTCAGAGTTGCGAGAAAAAAAAGTCAGAATTGCGAGAAAAGTCAGAGTTGCGAGAAAAAAAAGTCAGAATTGAGAGAGAAAAAAGTCAGAATTGCGAGAAAAAAAAGTCAGAATTGCGAGAAAAAAGTCAGAATTGCGAGAAAAAAAGTCAGAATCGCGAGAAAAAAAAGTCAGAATTGAGGAAAAAAAAGTCAGAATTGCGAGAAAAAAAAGTCAGAATTGCGAGAAAAAAGTCAGAATTGCGAGAAAAAAAGTCAGAATCGCGAGAAAAAAAAGTCAGAATTGAGGAAAAAAAAGTCAGAATTGCGAGAAAAAAAAGTAAGAATTGCGAAAAAAAGTCAGAATTGAGAGAAAA